GTTATCTCACGATGGGCTTCTTCTTTATCCTGTCTGTTGTGGCTTAATCCAGGACTTACTACGTCTCTCCCAGGCACCCTTAGATTACTCCATTAGCCTCTTACCTGGTTTCCTTCCTCCCATCTCCTCTCTACTCAACATTTTCTCCACGTTGCCATTGGAAAGATCTTAAAAACCGTATCCGATCATGGGCTACGGTGCTTAAAATCCTCCCTTTGTATCCTTTTATCTACAGCATCACAGATGCTCTACTTTAATGGGAGTTTCTTTTTCATCAAATGTTATGCCCCCCCTTTTTGTGTTCTGTCTCTTCTATTGAGAATTCTGTATTTTCTGTGTATTAAGAAAATTTTGTTGAGCTTTGCTTTTAATATTATATTAGGAAAACATAGTTTTTTCCAGCTGTAGCACACATTAGAATATTGGGTCGGTGTGCCTCTTCCTCCTTTTCTCCATTTGAACTTGACATCGTTTTAATATAGAGGACTGTCAGGGCTCAACTTACCTTATCAGCTAACTAACTTAATAACAGTAGTAATTTTTGCAAACATTTGAGCACTTTATTGCTTACTGTTTTTCAAGCAACCTTGGGGTAAAGTACCTACATTTATTATCCAACCTTACTGCAGCGCTCAAGGGAGAGATTATTGTACTTATTTTGCAGATAAAGAAAACGAGGCCCAGACAAATTGACCTTTAGTTTTAGTTGATAGCTGGTAAAATTTTGTTGAATGAGTTAGTAAACTTTTTTTTTTTTTTTTTAGGTAAACTCTCTTTCTTTATAATGTATATTTACGTTCATGTTCGTCCTATGCTCTTCATAATTTTTTTAATGTTTATTCATTTTGTGAAAGAGAGAGAGTGGGGGAGGTGCAGAGAGAGAGGGAGACACAGAATCTGAAGAAGGCTCCAGGCTCTGATCTGTCAGCACAGAGCCTGATGTGGGGCTCAAACTCATGAACCGAGAGATCGTTACCTGGAGCCACCGAGGTACCCCTTTTTCTATGTTCTTTCAAGATGTGTGTGTATGCGTGGGGAGGGGGGAAGGGCAGGGGAGTGTATGTACATGCCCATAATGCAGTTACATATTTTAAGGGGCCACAGTTGTAAGAAGCTCTTTTAAGAAGTGGGGGGACTACACGAGATGGGGCCTTAAATATTTGGGAAAAGAGCATAAAGATAGGGAAGGAACCTAGCCTAATGTGAGTTAAGAGCAAGAGGCATTAATTTGGAGTTAAAGTTAGAAGGAATACCTGTTGCGTAAAAATGACCCGGTGAGCTTCATAAAAATAGATTCTTGAAATACATATATGTATTTAAAGAATATATGTATGTATTTATACATATGTATTTATATTTATATTGGTCTCCATCTTCTGAGATGACTGAATGTAGTTCAATGGGGCTTGGGATTTATATTTGTGTAGAGTTTTGGAGATGATTCAGAGGAACAGGTAGGCTTTGGGACTTGTGTGTAGGTAGCCAGAATTAGAGATCTAATAAATGGAGTTTCAGATAATTTTGGATATAGAAATTAGGGGGAATCAAGAAATAGGCTTGGAGTGTTAGGAAGAGTTTTGTTTGTTTTTAAGTAGGATCCACGTTCAACACGGAGCCCAATACTGGGCCTGAACTATGACCCTGAGATCAAGATCTAAGCTGAGATCAAGAGTGGGACACTCAACTGACTGACCCACACAGGTGCCCCAGGAAGAGTATTTGTGACCTGAATTTCTAATCCTGATAGACAGCAAGCCTGAAAGAGCTGTGTAGTGTTACGCAGCTCTAGAAGAAGAGTGACTTTGTCCTAATTGGGTGATGAGGTGGGAATAGCAGACTGAGAGTCCACACATGTATTTAAAAACAAAAAAAAAGCTGAACCCTATTAGTAATTTTTCCACTAATTTTAAGTTTGTTCATTTAGTTGTAAACCCCTGAATGTCTACTGTTCACCTACTGTGTAGAGAAAAGGTGGCAGAGAGACCTTAGGGACAGTATAATGTTACAAAGAAGAATTTTATGTAATGAATCTCTTGGATGATTTCAGCAAAAGAGACCACTCGTAAATTGTGGGCACCTTCTCTCCCCCCCCGTGAGAAATTTCTCTGTGGCTGTTCACTTTTGTTTAACAAACATTTATTGTGTCAAATGTTAAACTAGTCGTTAGGTAGTCAGACATAAATAAGAGACAGTTCTTGGGGTGCCTGGGTGGCTCATACAGTTAAGCGTCCGACTTTGGCTCAAGTCGTAATCTCCTAGTCCATGGGTTCAAGCCCCTCATCGGGCTCTCTGCTGTCAGCACAGAACCTGCTTCGGATCCTCTGTCCCTCTTTCTCTGCCCCTCCTCCGTTTGTGCTTGATCCCTCTCTCAAAATAAACATTAAAAAAAAAAAAAACTTTATTAAAAAAATAAGAGTTCTTGCCCTGGGGTATGTTATAGCTTGAGTGGGAGAGATGGGCACGTGAACAGATGATTTCATTATATTGTAGGAACTACCCTAATAGTAGTGGAAGGTGCAGATTTTTAGAATATGTAGGCCATAAAATTGGTAGGAATTGGTGATTAATTGAACGTTGGGGATCATAGGATGAGTCCCAGATTTCTAATGTGGGTGACTGGATGAGGACAGGTTAATATTCACTCAGTTCAGAAATACAGGATTGGGAACCTATTTGTGAGGGGTGAGGGAAAATCAGTTTCATCTTCACATGCTTAACATAACTCTTTAGACACTCAAGTAGAGCAGTTTAGCATGGTGGGAAGGTGTCCTACTTCAGGAATTAGACTATTCCTGTTCAGTGCTGTTCCGCTCACTAGCCGTTACTTGCTGTGTGGTGTTGGGACATTTAACTTCTCTAAGTCTCATTTTTTGTACAGACACTAATAGTACGTACCACATAGGAATTGTGAAAAGCAATGAAATGATGTATGTGAAGCACTTATCATAGTACTGGCCACATAATAAGACCTCAGTACTATGTCAGGAATTATTGTTATTATATGTATAACAGACGGTGTAAATTCAGGAGAGCTCAGAGTTGGCATTTAGTTTGGGGAATCATTAACGTATAGGCTAACCCAATGACAGTGGACAAGAGCCCCAGGTAGGGGATGGAGGGAAGAGGGTTAACATTCAAATGAAAAGTGGTGTGATTGTTTTGCATGTGGATAATTGTGTGTGAGAATTTGTGCCTTGTCAAGAAATTATTACAGCTTATGATTGGAGCATAACAAGAAATACTTACGACCTTTTAAAAATCCACAGATTAAAACTCTTCACGTGGACTTAAAAAAGAACTTAGTGTTCATTTAAATAAACGGTAATAACAACATCAGCCCCTACTCTCTTTAAACTACTTGCCAATATCCTTTTTTTTTTTTAAATCTTTTCTGAGTAGTGTGTGAAGTGGCACAAATTGTTTGTGTGAGTAGTGTCCACACTTTATAGTCACCTTTATTTCCAAGTATATTCATCAGTTCTCTTTTCTTCAGTGCCATTGGCACTTCGCTTTCATTGCTTCAGAGATGCGGCAGGTGAGATTTTATACCGGGGTCATTGCTGTTGGTTGGCCGCAGTGCCCTTACAGCCAAGTCCAGCACGGTGGAAGAGGGGTAAACAGTAATTGACCCATTGTTTTAAAAGTGTTTAAATTTAAGTGTGGATTCAAAGTGTGTTGCATAATGAAGTTAGAATTTTATCTAAGGAAGGAGTGGTCCTAAACAAATCTGATCTCCAAGGGAAATCTTCATACGGGTTTATAAGAAGGAGGTTTTCCTATTGTCTTTTATAAAGGACAAGGAATATGATGATCTGGCAGTTTTTGCCTGTCAAATCAACTGTGAGAACTGAGCCATTATTAGATCATATCTCTATAAGTTTCCAGAAGAAAGACTTAAAACTCAATTCATTGCCTTAATGTTGCAAATAAAATTTTCTGTCAAAAACAGGTGCTTTATTTTTACATTTAAATTTTGACTTATTTGGACAGCAACTGTTATGAGTGCAAAACCCTGGAAGGAAATTTCTTTGGGGGAAGCTAATTAGTGTTTTACATGGTAGTTATTACACTGAAGATCATAATTTCATAATGGGGGGCATTTGTTTCTTCAGTTTTAGTAAGGAACAAAAAATATGTATGGGAAAAGTACAGAATTAATGAGATAACTGTTAGCAATCCGGTTTTGAAGACACACAAGTTAAAGAATTATCCACAGCCTACTCTTATAGCTGCCGATCAAAATTTTAAGTTGGTTATGGTTGTTTTACTTTTTTCCCTGTCCCCATGAGCAGGCACAGCCATAAATACTGTGTTTTCAAAACAGTAGCATCCTGCACATTCCCGCCAACTCTAACCCCATTCCCCAATGGCGACCCTGCGTGTGCGCGTGCGCACAGGGGTTTACTAGTAATAAAGAACTGCTATGTACCTCACTGCCTCATCCACTAGACAGCACGGAAGCAGCGTGTGACATAATCCGTGACGGGGCATTCAGAGCCGGGAGGAACTACAAAGCTGGGACATTAATCAATTACTTTTCTGAGAAGGATTCCGGTTAAGAGACTGGGCATCAGTGAGCCTTGAAGAGTGCTTAGCACTTAGCTAAGCAGACGAGACTGTCTTAGAAAGGGAGAACGGTATGAGGAAAAGCACAGGGGTGGCTACAAAACATGGTCTTGGGTGGAGTGGTGAAGAGAATAGAGAAATTCAATTGGAGTTTGCAACCATTTAACTGTTTCCTGATTTCATTTTTCTGGTAGTTTACCTCCATGACCCTAGGTAAATGACCTTTTGTATTTATTACCTAATTTGCCAACCTAAAATTTACGGACTCTTGGATATGAAAACTGTTTCTGTTTATACCACATGCTTCCTTTCTGTTCCACTTAGTATCTGTGTTAATATTTTTTTACGGAGTTCCTGTATCGGTTATAATTTTAACTCTAAAAAGTACCCAGGTTACTGATGGTGTACATATTCCCCGAGATACGTGAAATTTAATGTTCAACATTAAATAAACTCGTGTGTTTGAACAGAAGGAGGAAAAAAAATTGGAGCTGATCATTTAAATCCTGGGATAACAAAGAATTTGTGTTACTTGTGAAATGAGAGATAACTTTTTTTTTTTTTTTTTTTTAGGTTGAGCAAGTGAAATTACTTGACCGATTCAGTACCAGCAACAAGTCACTAACAGGAACACTCTATCTTACAGCCACACATCTATTATTTATAGACTCTCATCAGAAAGAAACCTGGGTAAGAAGGACATCTGCTGTGCTGCTTACCATGCTTATAATAATGGACTTGGCCTATAGCTGTGTTTTATTTTGGTCATGTACAAATAATTTAATCCTTGGTTACCTATTTTCAACAAAATTCAACAGCCTATTCTCTACCCTCCCTCCTAATAAAACAAAGATACCATGTGGAATGTGGAAATTTTTTATAGAATATAGCAAGGCTCTTTTTATCTGCATAAATAATTATAAAATACCTACTTGTTCCTTTTAATTTTTAAAAATGTAAATAATACATGCCCATGTTTAATAGATCAAATGGCCTATTCCGTGGTATTTTTATACCAAATTGCAATTACAGTGTTTTTTAAGTTGATTGATTATAGATCAAACAGTACAGTAATGGATATTTTATATATATTTCTTCCTGTATATGTGCCAGAGTGTCTCGGAGGTATCTGGCTGAGAGTAAAATTACTGGGTCTAAGATAAGTGCATATTTTCCTTCGCTAAGTGTGGCCCTCTCCAAAATAGTTGTTTCAGAATATTCTCAGTAGAGTGTGACTCATGGTCCGCCATCATCAGCAACATTGACATTGTCAGCTTTACAATGTTTGCCTCTCTGGTGGATGTGCAATTGTGATTTTAATTTACTGATTATGAGAAAGTTGTCCTTTCAGATATTTTGGCCTTTAGGTTTCCTTTTCTTTTTCTGTTGGGCTGTTTATCCTTTTACTGGCTTTATAAGAATTTTGGTTTTTAATGTTTTGTCAGGTGTATGTGTCGTAGATAACTTCTCCCAGTGTGTGGCTTGTCTTGTATGTGTATATGTCTTGCAACTAAAGTTTGAAATTTTAATGTATTAGATTTTCATTGTTTCTTTTATGGTTTATGCTGTCTTGTGACTTAAGGGATTCTATTTTTTTTTTTTTTTTTTTTTCTAAAAACTTACATTTTGTGTTTCAAGTATAAGTTGTTAATATATCTGGGAAATATTTTGGTGGGCGATATGACTTAGGGATTCATTTTTATGTTCTTTTCGTATGGATACTGGCACCATTTACTGACGGTTTCGTTGCATTAATGTGTACTATCAACTGTGATAGATAAAGGGAGGGCCTGCTTTTAGGCTCCCTGTCCTGTTCTTTTGATATATTGCTTCCACTGTACCAGTAGCACATTCCTTGATTGACTCTAGCTTTTTAATACAATCTCTCTTTGATTGTACTCTTGATTTTCCCAGGAAGGCCATCCAGTTGATAACTGATTGCAGTAAGTAAGTCAAGATACTTCCCTGAGATGTTGATCTCGGAGAAGTTGTGTTCCCAAGAGGCACTGGACCTCCTCCCCACGCAGTGTTGGCCCGGGAGCTGCCAGGAGGGCCTTGTAAAATCCTTAGTCATGCTACCACCCGCTCTATCTACGCCTCCTTTGTCCGTCTGTCCTAATACCTTCTCAGTATGTTACCCATCTCCTCGCGATACATGTGCAAGTTTCCCCTAGACCTCTTCTTGCGGATGTTGAGAACATAGTTTTGGGGCAGTGAAAAAATATCGGTGTTGTCCTCTCCTATTACTGTCTTTAAAATGCCTTCTTATCAGTATATTCCCATATGTCTCTCCTGAATGAAATTTGTTTCATATAGTAGATCCACAGAAATGAACATTTTAGATCTAGAGACTTACCAACTTTTTATCTTTTTTCTCATTTTACAGATGATTTTTCTTTCAAGGTCATGTCACTAGTTATTGGCAGAGTCGGTCTCTGCAGCATTTTCTTGCAAATAATTTTAGGTCATAATTAGAATCGCGATAGTGACATATTATTACAGTAGCTGTTGTCTCTTGTTCTCTATTTAGATGCTAGTATTAGATCATTTTGAGTAACTTGGCACAGGCCTGCTAATATCAGTGTTAACAGTGCTAAATGTTAGCCACAAGTTTGAGCTGTACATGTGTAGTGTGTTAAATATTTGTGTGATGTATACTTTTAATGTCTGTAGAGCAAATTCTTTTTCCTCATTAGTCTTTTTTAAGCTTGTCTTGATTATATTATAGATTTAATCTTGCATGTGAACTTTAGAAAAAATATATAATTAGTGATTAATAATACCAGCATTTAATTTTATAATTATATAATACATATGTATGATATATAAATAATCAGCCATCTCTTACCCTACCACAGAAAAAGGCAAAAAGCCATTTGGAATTATTTATTGGAACTTACATTAAAGTTTTAGATTAATTTGGGATGAATTTATTTCTTGTCATGATTGAGTTTTATCATTCAGGAATCTGCTATAACTCTTGAGATCTTTTATTTTCCAGAAAACTTTTCTGTAAATATTTTAAAGTAGGGGTGCCTGGATGGCTAAGTCGGTTAACTGTCGGTCTCTTGATTTTGGCTTAGGTCATCATCTCACGGTTCATGAGTTTGAGCCCTGTGTTGGGCTTTTCACTGAGTGCAGAGCCTGCTTGGGATTCTCTGTCTCTTCTCTCTCTGTCCCTACCCTGCTTGCTCTCTTAAGTAAACATTTTAAAAAATGCTTTAAATTAATAGGAATGGTATTGAGAAAAAGAAAGCTTTTTTTAGTAGCAAACAGAATATTAGAACTCATATGAATGATAACTATATCTTTAAAATGCCATCAAGTATTGAGTTGATAGTAGAACTTTCTGTTCATTCAGTCAGGAAACATTGTAAGGTAGGTATAAGCAGTGACACCTGTATTGCTGGTTTGGTCAGATTTTAAGTTTGCATGTATAAGATATAACAGTTGAAACTTTCTTTTTCTATTTGAGCAGGGTCACTCCAATGCTCCAGATACTGTGTTAGGTGCTAGAGATAGAACGTTGCTCAACTTAGCTGTGGTATTGCTCTGTATGAAGTTCCCAACATCTAGCTGGAGAAATAGACATTCACTGTATACAAGGAATTACTCGTGTTCTGAGTGCCGTGATGGAAAAGTATAGGCTGATAAGGGATAAGAAAATGGAGAGGACCTAACTTTTCCCATGGGAAAGGCTATGGGGGTTGTCAGGCTGTTTTTCTTGGTGGTGAGGTTTAAGCAAAGGCCGGAAATAATACTAGAAGTTCCTAGGTGAAGAGGCAGACCTACAGTTTGCCAGTTAGTAAGAACAACTGAGTGTGTGTGAAGGAGGTTGATGCAGAAAGGGCCCTTGTCACTCGAAGTTGATGTGGGGAGGGGCTGGAAATGAGTCTAGAACCCAGAATCTGGGAAATGACATGACCAGATTGCTGTTTTCTAAGTCGTTTTTTAATAGTCATCACCTGCCCTGTAGAAAATGGATTAGAGGAAGGTAAGAGTAGGTAAGAGAAGGTAGGGAGAGAGCATGTAGGCAGTGACTTACAGTTACTCAGGTGAGAAACAATGGGAGCACTGCAGCTAGAGGAGTGACAGTGGACACCGAGAGAAGTAGGTTCCAGAGAGATGTAGGAGACGCGGTTGTTGGGGTCTGATGATGTATTGAATGTGCGGAGCGATGGAGAAGTATCAGAGCATAGTTCTGGCTCAGGCATTCAGTCACAAAGTCTGAGGACTTTGGTTGAAGAGGGCATTTCTAACACGTATGCGCTCTGGAAGAGAATACGATGTTTAGTACTTTTTTACGACGCTGATCAAATGTTTTTTTCATGCTGTAGATATTGCATCACCATATTGCCTTAGTGGAGAAACTAGCTTTGACTACTTCTGGATGCCCACTTGTGATTCAGTGCAAGAACTTCAGGATTGTGCATTTCATTGTTCCCAGAGAAAGAGATTGCCATGATATTTACAATTCCCTGCTACAACTGTCAAAACAAGGTACTGTTATGAGAGACCAAAGCTTACTTAATTTTGTGATGGATTAAATCTCATTGTTACTTTATACTTTAAGTTACTCGTGTGTGTGTGTGTTTTAATTTAAATTCTGTTAGTTAACATACAGTGAAATATTGGTTTCAGGAGTAGAATTCTTTGACACATCACTTACATACTACTAGTGCTCATCACAACGAGTGCCCTCCTTAGTGCCCATCACCCACCTAGCTCATCTCCCATTCACCTCCCTCCATCAACCCTCAGTTTGTTCTCTGTCATTAAGGATCTCTTGTATGGGGCGCCTGGGTGGCTCATTCGGTTGAGCGTCCGACTTCAGCTCAGGTCATGATCTCACACTCCATGAGTTCGAGCCCCACGTCAGGCTCTGTGCTGACAGCTCAGAGCCTGGAGCCCGCTTCAGATTCTGTGTTTCCCCCTCTCTCTGCCCCTCCCCTGCTCATGCTCTGTCTCTCTCTGTCTCAAAAATAAATAAAAACATTAAAAAAAAAAAATCTCTTGTAGTTTGTTTCCCTCTCTTCTCTCCCCCCCTTCCCATATGTTAATCAGCTTTGTTTCTTAAATTCCACATATAGGTGAAATTATATGATATTTGTCTTTCTCTGAATGACTTATTTTGCTTAGCGTAATACATTCTAGCTCCATCCACCTTGTTGCGAATGGTAAGATTTCATTCTTTTTGATGGTTGAGTAATATCACATTGTGTGTGTGTATATATATGTGTGTGTGTGTGTGTGTGTGTGTGTGTGTATGTGTATATATATATATATATATATACACACCACATTTTCTTTATCCATTCGTCAGTCGATGGACGTTTGGGCTCTCTCCATAGTTTGGCTATTGTTGATAATGCTGCTGTAAACATTGGGGTGCATGTACCCCTTCAAAT